TGTGTGTGTGTACACTGGTACATACATCCTGAATCTCGTCGTCGTCACTCTTGTCGCTGAAGTACTTGCTCGCCTCCTCCTTGCTCGCCGTGTCGAGTGCGTGCGAGAATGTCATGCGCTCTCCTTTCGCCGCACGTTCCAACATATCGTCTTCCTCCTCTTCATCGTACGTGATCGTATCGCCACTCTCCTTCTGACTCAGATTCTTCTGGCCATTGAAGTTGAAGGGATTCTCCTTGGTCACGGAGTCGAATAACTTCGGAGTTTCACTGGTGTCGTTGTTCTGGGTGGTTCCAAAGGCCATGCTGAGATTCAGCTCGTTCTGTGTGTTCAGCATGAGCTCCTCAGGGAGCTTATCGGCGTTGCTATGGTTACCATCCTGCGTATCGCCCACACTCCCACTGTCCTTTCGAACCTCACCCGACTGACCGAAAGCCATACTCAAGCCAAATTGGCTATCACTGCCCAACACAAACTCTTCTCCCAACGGCGCCTGTGACTGAGATAGTACTGGCTCGTAGTGTTGCGTCGTCTTTCCCCCTCTCTTGGTACGCTTAGGTACCGTTGGCATGGTGCCCTGTGTGTCGGTGTCCACATTCTTATCAAGCGCCTTGTCGGATTCGGCACCCTTTGCGGTGCTTTTAGCTGTAGCAGCTGAGACGAACTGCCCTGATTGCCCAAAGGCCATGCTCAGGTTCATCTGGCTCCCACCCTCATCGAGGTGTAGTTGACTCCTGCGCAGTGTGCGAGTGGTTAGTAGCGTATGCTTGTTAGCAACACTTAATACTGGTCACAGACCAAATACAAGTACGAGATTAAGCATACGAAACATTAAGAGCATTCGGTATTCCAAGCTACATGCGGCCGATATAACTTTAATAAGCAGCCCAAATTACACCACAGCCAGAAAGACTATATAGTACATGATCAATAGAGAAGTGGACTATATAGCACATTATATATCACTTGATCGATAGAGAATTGGACTATATATAGCACATCATCAATAGAGAAGTGGACTAAATAGCACATTATATAGCACATGATCAATAGAGAAGTGGACTATATATAGCACATCATCAATAGAGAAGTGCGCATACCCTAACGCCTGTGTTTGTGTCTGTGTGCCCGACTTTTGCAATTGCGACGCCTTCAGTCCTTGCGAATAGCCTTGTGACGAACCACTCATATCCATAGACAGAGACTGGGAGAACAGCCCCGAAGGCAAGCGATTGAACTTGTTCTGTGCGATGTGTGTGGGTTTCTTGTGGGTTGATTGCTGACCTCCTAACGCATCCTTTGGGCCCTGCGATTGCGAGATAAAGTATCTGTATGGCGGAACGGGATGTAGAAGGCGATTGCAGGTGTCAGAAATGCTATATATATATATATATATATATTATTCAGTATTTATACTATGT